GTGTGCCAGAATTATTTTCTCAAACAGCTTGCCTAGGATCGAGGTAAGACTAACTGGCCTATAGTTTCCCGGGTCCTCCTTCCTTCCTTTTTTGAAGATTGGAACCACACTGGCCCTCTTCCAGTCCTCTGGCACCTCTCCAGTGCACCACAAGTGCTCATAAAGCCGTGCCAGGGGACTTGCAATGACCTCAGTCAGTTCCTTTAGAACTCTAGGGTGGAGATCATCTGGACCGGCTGACTTGAATACGTCCAGCCCCTCCAGAATCTCCCTAACTAAATCCTCGCTAACCCTTGGCCCAGGTGTGCCTCCCCCGGGGCCCGAAGGCGGCCCAGCAGGGAAGTGGCTGTTCTGGTTCCTACTTAGGAAGATGGAGGCATGGCCCCGCTTTGAACAGGGGGTTTGACTAGATGATCTCCTGAGGTCCCTTCCAACCCTAATTATCTATGATTCTATAATATTTGCCTGTATCATGCATAGCCCACTATTCATTCTCTATAGTTGTGTAGATGCTTATATGTCCACATTGCATAGGTATCGGAATCCCAAACTAAGTTTACCTGCCAAATATGCAACTTCTGTTCCTGAAAAATTGCCATTTACTTGCATAAAACAAAATAGAATTCTGTCTTACATTTCTCCTGCTTGAGAGCTCTGAAAAAATGTTCTGTCTCCAATAATCTGTTTAGACAATGTGGGTCTTTTAAAGTGATTTCCATTTTTCCCTTTTTAGATATGGATCACTGCTATCTATGCAACAACAAAACTCATTGGTCTCCTGTGAACAGTACTAGATGCCACAAAAAGACAGTACAGTACCTCAGCTGGAATGACTGGTTTGCTGTTTTGCTACTAATCCTCTCTGGACTTGGGGTTGTTTTGATTGTTATAATTAGTGCAATATTTACTAGATACCTGGACACTCCAGTAGTAAAGGCATCAGGTGGTTTAGTGATCTGCTACGTTATACTCCTCTGCCACTTCTTCATTTTTTTTAGCACTGGCTTTTTCATTGGTGAACCAAGGGAATTCAAATGTAAAACAAGACAAGCTCTCTTTGGCATAAGTTTTGTCCTCTGCATCTCTTGCATTTTAATGAAGTCACTTAAAATTTTACTGGCCTTCAGCTTTGATCCCAAGATTCAGAATTTCCTGAAGTCTCTCTACAAGCCTATTCCCATAGCAGTGACCTGCACTGGAATTCAAGTTATTATTTGCACTTTCTGGGTAATATTTAGAAGCCCTTTTGTTGAACAAAATTTTTCCATTCGAGAAGTTATTATACTGGAATGTAATGAGGGTTCTATTGTGGCTTTAGGAATCATGTTAGGTTATATAGCGACTCTGGCTTTTATTTGCTTCATATTTGCTTTTAAAGGTAGGAAACTACCAGAGAATTACAATGAAGCTAAATTCATAACCTTTGGCATGCTCATTTATTTCATAGCATGGATTATATTTATCCCTGTCTACACAACTACGTTTGGCAAATACCTGCCTGCTGTTGAGATCATTGTTATTTTAATATCAAACTATGGAATTCTCTGCTGCACCTTCCTTCCCAAATGTTATATCATACTGTATAAGCAAGAAGCAAACACCAAATCTGCTTTTCTCAAAATGATTTACAGCTATTCTTCCAAGAGTGCAGGCAGCCTTACTGTTAGCCAGATTTCTTTGGAGACCAAGTGTCCAGTCCCACAGTTTCCAATCACAAACTCTTGTTGTAAATCAGAAAAAATCTCTGTGAATGGCAGCTGCCATTTTCAGATGCCTGGGCAGAGATTAATAAGAGGGAAATTATCTCCAAAAAATGTAGCTGGGATAACACCCAGGAAGAGGTTGTCTAGCATTTGACTATGGAACACTGGCCAGATAGGGAAAGAACCCTTTTAGTGAGCCAGGCTCTTGGTCTCCTGTCCTTCTAGTCTCCCTAAGAACCCTCTCCAACCTCCATCAGGTGTAGTGTTCTGGTATGCAGGAAAAAACTGCAGCTGGACATCACTTATTTAGGAGTTGCCTCCCTAACATGCAAAAGGAAAGCATGCCCTTTATTTTACAGAAATAGGAGAGTGAAAATGCTCAAATAATATGGGACTGGAAGGGACTTTTTGGGGCATGGAGTTTAGTCCCCTGCCATAGCTGACAACCACATCATATCATCCCTCCAAAAACGTATGCCACTGTACTCCATGGTAAAATAGTGACTGTTTTTTTCATCCCAACTTATCACTACTCTTGTGATTAGAACCCTTCTGATTTTCAGTCTGATTTTCACCTCAGCCAACACTGCCCTTTAGCTTAAATACCTCTTCTTCCTTCCCCTGAACTCTTTATAGAGAGTAATCATATTTCCTCTCAGACTCAGTTTTGTCAGGCTAACCACAGCAAACTCTTTTAGTTTCCTCTAATAAGGCAGTCTCTTATTCCCTGCTAGCCCTTCTCTGCATCTGTATAGATTAGACTGAATCATTCTTGAACGTGGATGCCCAGAATTCCAAACAGTATTCCAGATGTGGTCTCATTAGTGTCTTGAACAATGGCCTTAAATTTCCCTATACTTATCATGGAAATAAATAGTCAAGAAGACAAACCAATTTAAATATTAAGGACAGCTATGTAACTACAGTAATCTTTATCAGTGATAAAGAGTCCCTCTATCCCCTCCCCTCCAGTAGCATAGTTATAGTTCCACTGTGTGACAAAGAAAAACTCTATTAAGACAGAGGTATTAAATTCATTTTGGGTCCTTGGTTGGATTTGGACCACAGGACTCCTTATGGACCAGATCCAGCCTGGAGAATGAGGAAGAGACAGTGGCCATAGCCAGCATGGCAGTGGCAACAACAGCCATTGCAGCAACAACAGCACCTACCACATCCACCGCAGTGGCAGTGGCCACTGCAGTGGCAGTGGTAGAAGCCATGGTGTCCCAGGTGGCTGCAGGGTAACTAAGGGCTGTGTTGGATGGCTCTCACTCACCCCCTGCCACTGATGCCCATATCCACTGGGACCCTGAGGTCCCAGGTCCTGCAATAGGCCATGTCCCCTCCTAGCCATGCCTCCATACTCTCCAGTTTACTGTGCTGCATCCAGTTTACAAATCATGTGTTTTACACCCTTGAATTAAGGGAAGCTGCCCCAGATTGCTTGTCCAGAGGTGTTGTCTTGTTCAAAGAAGGTAGAAATCTGTATTCAAATTTGTTATTAGCATGCACTTAGCAATAAAGAATTCTCTTAAATAAATAATGATGGATAACATCTATGCAAAAAGAGGGCGATCTTACCATTTGTAGTAGTATAAAAGGCTGATCTTGAAAACAACAAAACAGCATCTCTGACACCCAGCAGTAGCACAAATGTTAACTAATATTAATTAAAGGTTTGTCTGTGTGAGAAGAGCCTCTGCTGCCTAGGTGCACTAGTAGAGCCCCCTGGTAGATATGCAGTGTACTCTGTCAGAAAGGGTGCATCCAGATGAGCATGCACGTTCGGGGGGGGGTGTTTGCCATGGCACAAATAGCCGCAGCACATATTTGTGCCACTGCTTTGTGCCCCAGGGCACACCCCTGCACCTGCACTTCAGTGCATGCCAAATTGTCCCAGGTTGGGTAGGGGAAGCTGGGGTTGTGGGGACAGCAGCGGCTTTACTTGGGGTCATGGAGGCCTCTCAGGACAGCAGCAGCACACAGTGCCTGGCCGGCAGCCAGAACTTAGCTCTGGATGGCCAGGCTCTGTTTCTGGTGGTTTACGCTACTGCTGTGTCCACTGCACCACTTCTTTTGACAGCAGGATCTCCCAGCGGTGTTCCTACTAAAGGTTGCATTGCACTGCATGCAGTTTGTGGCACCTCAAACAGCTTTGAAGTGCTGCAAACTGCACACGCGTGCTCGTCTGGATGTGCCCAAAGAGTTCTCTGACAGTATAACTACATAACCCCCCTTACGATACAGGTTAAGTGCTTCTGTTGTCTTGGCTTCAAAAACCCAGAGTTTTACTGGCATAGCTCTGTCAGCAGGTATGATTTTTTTTGCACACTGGTGAACAACAAAACTTATGCCAGCAAAATTTTGTGGTGTAGACCTCATCTAGGACTGTGAAGAGTACCAAGTTTAAGTTAGTAGTGCCACTAACTTGGAAAATGGAAAATATTATTTAATATTTTTATTTTTGTACTGTATGAATGCAATATTGTATTGACTTCTTACATATCACATCTAGACTCTGGTCCTTATTCTCACTTATCACTGTTTAAATCACGAATCATTTCACGTGATATCAAAATCAAGTCCACTGATTCTAGTGTCACTTATAATAATATATATTAACAAGCTATTGTACATAAAATTAACTTTGTATCATGTTTATACTTTTTTCATACATCTGAATTTTCAGGAAAATTTGTGCTGAAACAGTGCATGTGTTATATTAACCTGATTATGGATAACATATTCATCTATCAAAAGATCCAATGAAAAAAGTTTGTCATATAATGCTTAGCTGAATGTGTAGAAGGAATCAGAAGTGTAAAATTTCAGTTTATGAACACTTGTGTATAACTTCTGAGCCTAACTCTAAGAGTATGTGTGCATGTACATATAACTGTAGATATGATTGCTGCTCTTGTATTATGTGTGAAGAGTACTGTTTTGAATGTGAAGAACTGTGGTATGTAAATATGTAATTGCAGTTGGGTGCCAAATTTCTCAAAAAAGAAAGAAACAAAGCTCATACTAATCTGTTCTTTTTTCAGAAGCTGACCTCTTCAGAAGCAAATGGGTAGCCTACTAGAGCATGTTTGAATGTTACCTTGCATATATAAGGGAACAAGGTCATTAAAGTCATATTGTTATTGAAAGTAGTGTCTTTACTTTGTTCCTTCTCTCTCCCAAGGCTGAGCTTTGGCTCAGCTCTGCTTAGTAATACTTAGTTTTGATACAGTGATTTCCACTCAGATCTCAAAATGCTGTTCAACTGCTGAATGTTGCATCTCCTCAATGCACCAGGTAGTGATCATCCTCAAATTGAGGGATTGCCAACAATGAGTACAACAACACTGAAGGGGAGCACAGGGCTGTGTGGAAGGAGAAGAGCTATGGGGGTAAACATGTTGAGGAATGGGAGCTGTAAGAGCCATATGGTTGCCGAGCTGCGTGGTAACTTGTGGAAGGATATAGGGTAGGCGTAGAGGGCAATTAGTCATGTTGGGGAGCATAGGGATAAATAGGGATGTGGTAGTTTTTATGGGGAGAGCACAAGAGAGATATGAGGCAGAGCTGGCAGACCAGGGAAAGGGAAGGAGTTTTGTCCTGATGAACTTCCAGTGCTCAAGTACATCATCTCCTTCCTCCTTTCCTATCAGCCCTCCCACACAGCTCTGTTCCACCTAGGCCCCTTCACATTAACCCTTTCTCCCCAGCCCCATGTCTGCCCCCCTAGCTACACTTACTGTGCAAAGAAGAGTTGGTAAGTTTGACAATGTAGCTGAGAGGAGCTGACAGTTCTGCTGCCTACTGTTGGCAGAACTATGGAGGTTGTGCCAAATGATGTTACATGATGTATGATCATGTCTGTAAGTGACCTATCTGTAAGAATTTATCACATTGCATTTAGATGAGGCTTATCAGGTTTGTAGGTCTGTGAGTCCTGAACTGTAGGAAGGTGAAAAAAGCAATACCCTGAGGAATCTTCAAGTGGTAGTATAACGAAGTAATAGTTACCTAAATGCTTATAAATAAAATAATGCCTCCCATCCTAATATCCTGTTAACCACAAAATACTATCTCTAATTCAGGAACGTATTTAAAGACAAAGCACAAGATCTCTAAAAGAAAGAGTAGGGACCCCTTAAACACATGTAAATGGCACAAGAGCACCAGTGTATGTTACCTGACTAAGCTCTGATTTGGGAAGGAAAGTTAACTCATATACTAAGACATGTAATGCCTTTAGATAGCGTGGTAGCATAACTTAGTGTGAGTGACTGGGGCACCAGCCCCGGGCACCAACTTAGTAGGAGCACCAGAATGGCACCCTTAGCCCCATGGAGTCTACGCCCTAGCAGCCAAGTGCATGGACATGGCTTTGCTGCTGTAGGAGCAATACCTGGGGTGTCCATCCCATTCTGCAGAAGCAGCAGCTGGGGACTGTTTTTGAGTCTCAAGAATAGGTAGGGCTCCCCCACCACTCTTGACACCTCCCCTCTTTCACCCCCACCCCTATTCATTATGCCTTTGAGATAACTCCTGCTGAAATTTAGGAATCAATAAGAATTTAGTATGTAAGCATATGGACCTGTGTGACTGATTGTGGGAGTTCTAGAGTTTTGCATTTCTTTTTGTCTCAGACCAACACGGCTACCAAATGCATCCCAGCAACATAGAAGATGCTGAATTTTAGCTGATTTTGGATTTAAACTTCATTGCTGACCAACAAGAAAGATTTCTACACCTCTCTGCCTGTTTGCCATCTGAAACTGCCAGAGAAGGAATCCTTCCTTATCTGCACAACAAAAAGCAACTCACAAAGACACTCTCATGGACCCAGAGGAACAGACTTCCATCTTCAGCTTCCTCTGTGGAAAAATGAAGTTTATTTCCTACCTATGGAGACTTTTTACCATTTTTAATTTCTCCTGAGCCTGATGAAGGGCGTGAGAGCCCAAAAGCTTGCAAAAAAATAAATGTTTTTTGTGATTCCTTAGTTGATCTAATACAGAGTTACCATACGTCCTGGTTTTCCTGGACATGTCCTCTTTTTTGGGCCTTGGCTGGGAGCAGTGGACATGGTGATTGGCTGCCAGGGGTCATGTGCTCCCTGCGCAGCCCCGGCCAAGTAAAGGGACACTGTGTGTGGGT